GGGGCGGGGCGTGTGGTGGGGCGCGGCGCGGCGGCCGAGCGGCCCGCGGTCACCTTTGATGCGGTCCCGATCAGCCGCGTTCAGGGGTGGCGCGGACAGTCGGGGCAGAGTGCTACAGCCAGGGCGGCCGTGTGGCCACCCTACACAACGTGCTCCCAGACAGACAGACGGACTAGGGACAGGCTCCGCTCCCTCTCCTGTCCCGCACGGAAGGGACCCTCCTGTGTGTATCGGGATCAGGGCTGCTCTGATACACTTCATCCAGGAAGAAAAGAACGCCGTCGCCCAGCCCATCCCAAAGGGGGGGCTGGGTACAGGGGGAGACGGAGGGTGGAGGGCGCGGTCGCGGCCGGAAGTCGAGACACTTTGTGTATCGCCCTGGCCTCCGCAGTCTGCCCGCCGATCGCCCGGAGCGGAGCGGGACGACGTCGAGATGACGCGCAGACAGAGGAAGCGGCGCGAATAATCACAGATGTGTATCGAGGAGGACGGCGGCGGTCGTGACGCCGCAGCAGCCCGTCAGGGAGTCGCCGCCCACGCCCCCAGTCACATCCGTTCCAAACTCACCACGTGTTCAGCGCTGGCCGCGCCCCGGCCGCCCACCACCACCCCGCTGCACTCGCGGCGTGGCCTAGCGTGGCGACTTTAACATCTGCTTCATCTGCAGCGCGGGGCGGGGCGCGGGGCGGGCGCGGGGCCCTGTCCGCAACGCCCCGCAACCCCTCCTCGCCCGCCACCCCCGGCCGCGCCATGCTTTGCTATCGAGCGCCCTACTCTCGCCCGGGCCCCGCCCGCCCGCGGCCCCCAACGGGGTCCTTTCCGAGGTCCTCTAAACGCGCTGCCCCCGCGCAGCGCCAACCCCTGGGCCCGCCGCTCCGGTATAGACCCACCGGACCAACCCAGTAAGGCTGACCGGGGTAGACAAAAAGAAACCGGCGCCACATCCACGCCACGCCCTCCCCGACCCCCTGCCGGACCCAAGGGGGCGCACGAGCTGCCGCAGTGCGGACCTCAGGACCCTCCTGGAGGGCGCGGCGGCGGCGCCCGGCCCACACCGAGGAGACCACGGCGGCGAACAAAGCTGGGCGGGGCGGGTGGGTACTTCGATGGCCTGCAGGACGGGTACGCTGCTGAGCAGATGGTGTCCCTCCACCCCCGCACGCGAGGCCGCCGGCGTGGCGGGGCGCGGCGGCAGGACCAAAGCCCTCCCGGCACGTGGAGGACGCGTGGCGGGTGGCGGGCCGCGGCCGGCGAGGTAAGGATGCGCAGTGCGGCGGCCAGCGCCACGCCCCGCCGCGCCGCCACCACGCCCAGGACGAGGAGGCGGCACGGCGACGGCCGGGTGCTGCGCTCTGTGAGCAAAGTCGGGAATCACCTGCGCCGGCAGCCCGTCCGTGGACCCCTACCCGCCGTATCCACACGCCGCACGGGCGGGGCACAGGGGGCGTCCGCAAAGCACGAGAGCTGACAACCACGATCACGAACAGCGAGGCCGATTTTCACAGAACCGTCACAATATACGTTAATGTGGAATGGCATCCAAATCGAGATACAATTTCGACAAAAACATGACCATTTTGAGGTGACCGTGATGTTGACGCAGATTGGCCCTCGTATTGACTTTTGTGTACTTTGGGTAATACTGGGGCATTTACTACAACGCGGCTGGGCCCATGTCAGGATCAATAAAAAAGATACAAACATACCCATTGAGAGTGGGTCGAAGAAAAATACCCAATTTGTTCTTCATTTCATGAATGAAGGCACTGGGTAAATTAAGAAGTACAATGCTGAATTCTGATTTATGGGAATAAAGTGGTGGGGGGTGAAAAGATGGAATGACTGCTTATTGTCACATGTTACAGATGGGTAGTGTTGTGGAACCTAAAACATTCTGTTGAAAAGAGAAGAGAGGCCAAGTCCTAAAAAATTCCAAAGATTGATCTACCTCGGCCCAACCCTGTTTGCCAGCAAGAAGCAAGACTCAATATCTTCTTTCAAACAATATCCATTGTAATAAAAATTTTCACTTACCTTACTGAAGTAGCCCACAGTATGACATCCATCTCCATCATTTAAAGTCATAACATAGAAGAGGAATGGTTCAACATCATAATATAATGTTTTGTGGTCAAGGAAGAATTTTGCAAGAAGGCACAGGTTTTGACAATACAGTTTGTACCTTTTTCCATCAACTTCCCAAACAGAAAGTTTGTCTTTCCTATAAAAATAAAATACCAATTTCAGGAAAAAGCTGCAATAAAAAACATACCCCTAATAATCTATCTAAATTAAAATGACCCTTACCTGTACACTTCTTTGCCTGGTGGGTGTCTCCACACACACTTCACAGCATGCCTTTTGAGAATTGTACAACTCTTCATATACCGGAGGCAAAATTCACAGAGATACAATTTTGGTAGGCGCGCATAGTCATCAGGATAAGGGCTTTGATACCACACCTCCATTTCATGCTTGCCCATTTCAATATACTTAGTACCCTTTGTAAATGGGAGACTTTTCAAATCTTCCTCCTAAATAATAATTTTAAAAATATATACGTGCAGACACATATTCAAGAAAGCTTACACATAAGACTTGAAAAAAATAAAGTAAATAATACGTACAAGTTTCTGGCTGGTCATAGCTTGAGCCTCCTGAAAGAGTTGTATATCATACATAGGAGCAACACCTTTGAGTTTTGGCTCTCTTTGTCCCGAATCTTCGTCGGGCTCTTCTTCACTACTACTGCTGCTACTTCCACTGCCACTACCAGAGTCACTACCACTACTACTATTCTTCCGTTTCTTGCGTTTTTTATCCTTGTCCCTCATTTCTTTTACCTGCAACGTCAATAAAGTTGTAGAAACTGGCACCATCATTCTGACTATTATCCTTTCCTGATTATTTAATTCATGTGAGTCTCACCTTCAACATATAATTGCGCTGATCTAAAGACTGATGAGTTTTGGGAGATTTCCTCTCCATAATAGCAGCAAGAAGTCTTTGTCTTTCTTCATTTCGTTTCACTCTTTCAGTATAGGCAGCCTGAGAAAAAAAAGAAAATATTATAGGACATTGAACAATTCTCAGGCAAGACCTATTCTGTAAGACAAGTATTTGGTCAGAAGTCACTTACTTTACACTCTTCAGGTGTCTTGTTATGATATAATGGACAAGCTTCTATGATGTAATGTTTCTCATAATCTCCACTGAGATGACCTTTAGAATCACAACCTTCGTATGGGCATTTCCTTTCCTCCTCAGGTATGATTTTTGCACCACATTCAGAATGTGGAACGCCCATTCCTTTTCCTTTTGTTTTACGCGGAGGTGCTTTGGTGTTGGTGTTCTTCTTTCCTGGAGTTTTTGATAATCCTGCTTTACCCTCTAAGGAAGCACATAAAATATATTAGTTGCAAATTACATCATAAGCATATTACAAACATTTAATATGTATACTTTAAGATATTTTTAACTGGAAGGGCTTACCTGTTTCTGAATCTGAATCACTTCCTAACGCTGATTTCCCAATTAAATGTTTACTTCGTCGAGCATTGTTTGTTGCTGATCTTGTAACTTTCCTTATTGGTGGAGCCTCTGTTTTGGACTTCTCAGGAGATGACTTGTTAGACTGAGACAAATCAGCTTCACTTTCAGACCCTGCTCTTATTGAGTCCCCTCCAGGAGTTGGACCCAAATTCGAGTTAGAATTTGAATTAGAATTTGATGGTGTTGGTGGGGTAGATTGCTTAGTATTCTTTGCATTTCGTGCCTGGGAACGAACTGGAGTGGCGGGTGATTTCTTTGGTGGCCGGCCAGGCCCTTTCTTTACAGGTGTTGTAGGAGTTGTTTTATTAGCAGCCGAAGTAGATTCCGCACTTGATTCACTATCGGAGCTACTAGAAGAACCTGACGATGATCCTGACCCAGATGAACCGGAAGTTGCAGGAGATTTATCCGAGGCACCACCAGACTCTTTCTTCTGTTTTCCTTTCTGGTTTAAGGCAGCAGATACCTTGTTGGCCAAACTCTTGGGTGGCACAGTTTTTGATGGAGTGGATGGACCATCACTCTCACTACTATTATCTGGACTAAAGATACTTTTGTTTTTTTTGTCTACCTGTTTGCTGGCATTAGCTTTAGAAGCAGTGGACGTATCTTTAGGCGGTGCATTTTTTGCTGTAGAATTTGCCTTTCCCACGTTTGCTTTAGTTTGTGCAGACTTGGCTGGTGGTTTTGTTTGTCTTTGTTGAGGAGTTACAGTAGCTGAAACTTTAGGCTTAGCAGGGGCTTTACGTTTGGCTGCTGCTTTAGATGGGACATCATCATCATCTGAAGTATAAACCTGATTTGCTTTCTGTGCCCCTGCTCTAGTTTTAGTGGCCTTTTTGGCATTTTCGACATTATCTGTTGCTGAAGTTCCGGGAGCTTCAGGTTTGGAGTTGGATTTGGATGCCACTGGCGCAGATGAGGTATTAGAATTTGATGACGTACTGGCAGCATTCTGTGATGCCTTCTTCTTAACATTAGTTTTGCGGGTGTCAGAATCTGTTGAGCGACCACCACTTTTTGCAGCACTGCCTTGGGATGCTGAAGAGTTTTCAGAGTCTGAAGAACTTGAATCAGTTCCAGAGGATGAAGACGAATTAGAAGAACTTGAAGAACTGCTACTCCCTGATGTTGATTCTGAGCTTGTAGTGGGCTAAATTAGGACAAAAGTACAAAGCAGATGTTAAATTTGATAAAAAATACTCAAATGAAGTAGAGAGTTATTATCATTAAAATAACGAGAGTACAAGAGATTATCATTAATTAAAATTATTAAATGAGCAAAGTGGGCCCAAATATTTTGTAAATATGGTACGCTTTAACCTCAAAGTGTCGAAAAAGAGTCACAGCTCACGGAGACAACACAAAACCAACGATGAAAATCACCAACCTTTTTTCTTGGAGTCATAATTAAAAGTTTAGAGTGAAACTCAGTCAAATTATAAAAAGATAAAAGTTAAATATTAGGCGAAATTCGGTAGCATTTCTCGTTTGCCTCTCTTTTGTATGTCAATACGACGCCATCTTTGCCACACGACGCCTTGTAGACTTCGCACCACATTTCCTTTGCCGTCTGTCAACTTGACTGCCCAGCATCCTGCCCTAACCTCCGTAATTGTGACATTTTATCAGATTTCAAAACAAACTTGTGATCTTGTTTCGCTCAAACTTAAGAGCTTTTTGTTTGTCGCATTGCACACCATTCCGGAAAAAAAAATATGGTGATTTATAGTGTTTACATTGTCTCAAAGTCAGGGGGGCTCATTTTTAATTATGATCATAGTGTTCCAAAAATTGAAACTGAAAAGACTTACAGCTTTCCCCTGGAGCACAAACTCGTTTATCAAAATAAACAGATTGTTGTGGCTTTTGGACAAAGAAATGGCGTTATGGGTAAGCATGTTAACTTCTGTTCAATTACTTTTTCTGAGGTAGTTGACGACATCTCTTTCATTCATGTTTGAATGTGAACGTTTCTCAGCAGTTTTGTTCCGCTGATTCTAATTTTGAATCTGGTTTCCAGTTGGTCATGTTCTTCTTGGTGTTAATGGAGCCCCTGTCAATGGACGTACAATAGAAGACGAAAAGAATCCAAGAGATGCCTTTGAGGTCCTTGAAAATCCTGAGAACTATCCTATCAATCTCAAGTAAGCACATTTCAAATGATTCCCTTTTAAGTATTCTTGATCTCACTTTATTATTGTGAATCAGTTTCAATTAACTCATTGTTTTCTTCCTTGTTAGGTTTGGAAGGCCTAAAATGTCAACCAACGAAAAGATTTTTCTTGCAAGTATGTTTTACCCACTTTTTGCAATTGCTAGTCAGCTGAGTCCTCAACCAAGAACATCAGGTATTCAAAGCCTGGAGGCTGACACATTTCGTCTCTATTGTTTTCAGACTCTTACTGGTAATAACTTTTAGCCTTTTTCTGTTAAAATGCACTGTACCGTACTTTGTCATATTTTTCATAAATTATTTTTGTTGCTTCAATACAGGTGTCAAATTTATACTTATTGTGGAGCCTTCTCAGACAGGAGCTGACTTGTTACTGCATAGAATTTATGAACTTTATGCTGATTATGCCTTAAAAAATCCATTCTATTCTCTTGAAATGCCTATTCGCTGTGACCTCTTTGAGAGCAACCTTCAAAGTTTATTAGAACAGTCTGAAAAAGCAGGCATTAGTAGTGTTTAAATTAAGCTCTTTATAAAACTTGTTGTACATGTTTTTATTATACCACATTTTTTAATGAAATATATTGTTTATAAAGGTTTTTGAGGTTTTTTGGTTGTTTTTTTCCCTCTGGAACTTTGTTTATTAATGTACGTGGCTACAATTGCAAGAAACAAAATACTTAAAATTGTAGATCCTTTCCAGATGTGACAGAGTTTTTCAGAATTACAAATGTGTAATTTTGCGGTTAACTTTGAATTTCCCGCGCTAGTCTGACAAGCGAAAAGATCAGTGTAACCAACCTTAAAATACCTTATTCCACTGCTTCAAATATCACTAGTCAAAATTTCATGTGGACTATACTACAAGGCAGTGGAAAGTAACAACAACAACATCAACACATTTGTGTTGTGTTCTTGGTCTTGTCGTCGCATCTGCTTCACTGAACCGAATTTTACATTTATATTCTACTTCGTCTGTTATTACTGTCCTTGTGATTGATATTGACCTAATTACTTCAAACGCGGTCGGTAATCACTTCACTTTATAACCATGGCGATGCTCCAGCAACGACGTCAGAATGTAAGTTGTTCGCGTGTGGACGCTTTGTAAACGTTGGTTCGATGTCATTTCGTTTCTTATCGTTGTATTCATCTTTGCTGATGATGTTTGTGTGTAGATTCCTATATTTATTTCCTAGAAAATTATCTTAAATCTACACAAATTTTCGAGTTTCATATCAACATAACCTCTAACTATGCCTTTCCCTAGTGCTATCTTCCCACTTCGTTAGAAATTATTGGGAAATGAATTATAAGAGCATGAAATGTTCAAGCTTTGATGGTTTTTGTCATATTTAATCAGATATCAAGCTACACTTGCCGTTATTAGACTAACACACTGACTGCTCAGATGGAATTTGGTACTTTGCGAAACATGATCGCATTTGGTTAAACCACTATTACTAAATTACTATTTTGGGAGTTAGCCAAATTTGGCTTTAGAATACTCCCTTCTATGTAATCTTTTATCCAATTGTGTTGTCTGTTCCCAGGTCCGTCTGCCTCCTGAAGTTAATAGGGTTCTGTACATTCGCAACCTGCCTTACAAAATCACTGCAGAGGAAATGTATGATATATTTGGGAAGTATGGAGCTATTAGACAAATAAGAGTGTAAGTATTTGTCTCAATTAATGTTTCCATTCAATTTATTAGTTTCATGCTCATATTCTGTGTATTCATTTGTACAGAGGAAATACACCTGAAACCAAGGGAACAGCATTTGTTGTCTATGAAGATATATTTGATGCCAAAAATGCTTGTGATCATCTTTCTGGTTTCAACGTCTGCAACCGTTACCTAGTCGTCTTATATTATCAGGTATTTTCATGTCTTGCTCTTACCCTTGTTTTTGTTAATTTCTGGGACTATTATTTACTGTTTTTATCTTTCTTTCAGGCCAACAAGGCGTTTAAGAGAGTAGATGTTGATAAGAAGAAGGAAGAAATCGAGAAAATGAAAACTAAATTTGGGCTGAACGATGAGAAGAAATAAATTTGTTTAGGCTTCTATTTATCTTATCGTTTGACTTTCTCTTCATTCATTAAATTGAGCAGTACCAACCAGACAATGCAATCTATTTCCAGTGGAATTCCCCTTTGTGGATGTGGGTAGTATGTACCTGAAGAAGTTGTGTGTGCATTATCATGTGAAGAAATTTAATATGATAAAGATTTTTGATGAAGAAACATCTGCTACCCTTTCCTGGATTGTCTAGTTTAAAGAAGCTGAGTTGTAAATATTATTTGAAATAGGAAATATGATAAACATTGTTACAAACTCCATTTCATTTCCTCTCTGGAAAGATGATGTAGTAAAAGCATTACAAAAGTGTGTCCTCATTGAAATATTGCTTCAGCAAATTTGTAAGATCTCAAGACTCCAATTTCCATGTTGTTTTGGCTAGCGTAAGTGAATATCTATCTAATAAAATATCTTTTTACACTATTAACCCCATGTCAATTAATTGAAATATGAGATTGAATTTGATTTGCATTGTTGCAGAACCTTCCTATGTTAACAAATGTGCATGACCCTTTACTTTATTTAAATCAAAGTTGTGGCCTTAGTCCCGGTGGTTCAGGTTTGAGCAGAATCCCATGTTTTATCCAAAGGAAAACATTTTTGTTACACTAATATCATTGTAATCTCTTATTGCCCTGCAAGATCAACATTTTTCACAGATGAAAAAGAGATGTAAAAAAAGAAAAGAGTGACACACCTCAGTGATGTCATTGCGACTGCTCTTTGTGACAACGTTTTCGAAGGGTTGTCTGTCAAATGCCTTGTAAATCTAGCACCTGTCGGATGTAGTGTATCTTCACACCCATAACGAGGTATGTACCGGGTGTAAGAGAGACGGCATCGCTGTATGTAGGCCGTAGGCCCCCTGCGATCAGCGGGTAGGCAAGCCCGCATACCCCGACGTCGTCTACTGGAGGTTTTATGTTTCACACACCGCTCGCCATCAGATAAGGTGATTCTGTTGTTCTCGCCTTCACCCTGGCCAGGCCTAGTCTGAGGGGGGCGGCGTTGCCGGCCAGGGTGGGGCGTAAGCGGGTGTAAGTCTGCGTAAGGGTCGATACGCCCTAGGCGGGCGCGGGGGCGCAGCGCTCCCGCGGGTGCGAGGGGGGTGGGGTGGGGGCTGCCACCCCCGAGACGGGCCCGCCCCGCACGGCTCCTGCGCAGGACCCGAGCAGGCCGAGCAGGCCGCGAGCGTGGAGGGGGAGGCCAGCAGTTGTGCCCTGCCCGGCACACCCGGCTCTCCGTTCGGCCCGTCCCCATCCTGTCGGTCCTGTCCGGCTCCGCCGCCCGGCCCCCGGCACGCGTTCAAGGTTGTCCGCCCGAACACTTTCGCTTTCCGAACCGTCGACGCCGTCCTCGACCCGCCCGCTCGGCTTAGGGCCGAACTCGACTCGGGCTCTCGCCGACATGTCGTGGTGCGACGCGGCCTAGGGGGCGTGGAGGAGGGACACGCAGACTCGACGAGCGGGGGCTCCGCCAGCACCGCCGGCATCCGATAGAGGTAGGCCAATTGTTTTGACCTTGCCTGACCTTTAAAAAAAATGGTCGAAAGTCGCGCGGCCCGGGCCCGGCCCTCTGCTGCTGTTCGTGGCTCATTGACTGGCGGCAGAACCAGTCCGGTTCCGGGCAGTGAAACTGTACGCCCCGCCGGCCCCGCCGCGCCCCGCCCGCGCCAGGACAATCGCGGGGAAGTTCGGGCCTGGCGCGGAAGGCGCGCCTCGGGCCGGCTGGGCGAGAGCGGGCTGAATTTCTGTTTTGACGTTTCATTCCCTCGGTACATATTCGCCTGGTTCGCGTCTATTTACATCGCGTGGGTTCCGGCGGGGGCCGCGGGAGGGCGCTCGCTGCGCCCACCCCCTCCCGCCTTGACGCAGTGTCACCAACGCGAGGGGCTTTCCCCCGCAACCAGAAACAAAATAAATTTCTGTCGGTGGAAGCCCACTCGGTTATGTTGCACGGAGGTTGCTATTTTTCTTTTCTAGGTCTGATTCGTGAGCACCGGCCTACCTGGCGTAGGTCAAGGACAGGTAGTGTGCCGCCCTCCGATTTGGTGTTGGCGGCGCCAACTTCGAAAGCTTCGCTGTACTGTACGACTGTACGTACCGGGCGTCCAGGACAGGCTAAGACATTGCAGTACGTTGTGTTGCCTATACAGGGGCTGCAGGCACGGGGCGGTTGTTGTTGGAGTGGCAGCTCCCCAACCACTACACCGTACACTTACTGTCAGCTGTCAAAAATGTTAAATGTAATGACAAGACCATACGCCTGTGTTTTGAAAATTACCTATATGCAATGCTGGCACGTTTGACAAATGTCCTCGTGCAAGAGGCCTCCATCATGCCTGTTGAGGTTTCGGTGTCTCACCGCCCAATCTGTTAGCCTGTAAAGGTGCGAAGTTTTCAAAATCAACCGGCTCTCTCGTTTCTAAAACGTGTTGTACATGCATTGCCTCATGACGTTTGTTTTCTATTTGACATTTTTACAACTGTTTTGTTCTCTGGATCGCGGTTAAGCTTACCTTAAGAAAACTCTCTCACCTACCAAACAAGGTGCTCTTAGTTTTTGCGCTGAAATTTAGTTTATTCCATTGGGTAAGTTCTCATACCGCGTTCCCATGCAGGACAAGCTCAAGCTCAGATCAGCGTGACGTCAATTTCATGATTCTACCCACAGTTTTTGTTCCTCAGAGCAAACTTTTCTATCTCAGCTTATGGACGGCAAATCCGTTGTTCGCACAGAAAATATTTTACTACGATAGTGGACACAGTTGTCTGAGTAAAAACCAGTCGATGCATAGTCTATCCCAGAGATAATTAAAAGTTAGCTCGACTTATTTTTCACGTGCTCGGTGGTTCACGGAAGGTTGAACAACACTTGATTGTCTTGTCACCTCCCTTCCCCGCAAAACTGCGCATGTCCAGAGGCACACGGTATGCCAGCTGGTGGCCGCAGGTACCAGGTACTATCCATGCGGCCACCCACCCATGAGGCCTGGGGGGAGGGGGCCCGGAGGGGGGCAGGCACCAAGCCGGCTTGCTCGTGGCCCCCATGGCCCCGGCCGGCCCCATGGCCCGGCCCCGGCCCCATGGCTGTGCCGGCTCTGCCCCCCTCCCGAGCCCGGCCAGTCCACCAGCCGGCTCAATCGAAACACTTGAATTGTTGATCAGTTTTGTGCCGCCGCCCGTCCCAGCAGCGCCAGCAGCGCGCCGTCCCGTCCCGTCCCGTCCCGCGAGCAGAGCCGCCGCCGCCGGCCGCCGCCGCGCAACGCAACGAGGAGCAACGCGAGGCAACGCGCCCCCCGCTCAGGCCATACGCCGCTTCAGGCCCGCGCCCACCGCGCCTCCCGCGGTGCCGCCCGCTCCGCCCCGGCCCGGCCCCTCGGCTCCACTCGGCGCGGCTCGGCTCGGCCCGGACACCGGCTCGGCTGGGCCCCAGCCTTCCCCGTCCTGCTCTTTTACTCGCAGAGCAGAGCGGAGGGCCCCTGGCTCTCCTCGCAGAGCATCGCCTTGTCGGCACCGCCTGGCCGCCGCCCTGCCTCGCCCGCCGCCGCGCGCACCGCCGCACCGCCTCTCCGCCGCCTCCGTCCTCCCATCCTGTTCCCCGCCCCGACGCCAGGACGGACGCCAGGACGACGCCGGCACACGGCGACTCGACGCCGGTTGCGCACCCCGGCGAGGCCGCTGTAGGGGTTCACCAGTGCCGCCGGACAGGGTGCAAGGGACTACCTGCCTCCAGGACGCGCGCGGGGGAGGACGTGCAGTGTGTGACGATCGACGGTGTCCTGGATTTAACCGCGCCCTTCGCTATGGGTCCCGAGTGATCGTCCCGAGCTCCCAGACACCAGCCCTGCGGCAGCACCCGCTCGTCATCCTCAGAAACAGGTACATAACGCCATGTTTGTTTTTATCTTTGTGTGAGTCTCTGTCCGTCCGTCCGTGTGGCTCTCCGTCCGCCGGCCCGTCTGCCCGTCTGCTCATGTGTGAGTGTGTGTTTGTGTGTGCGTGCGTGTGTGAGGGAAGGGAAGGCTTCCACCCGTTTTACTTTCGTTGGGCGTCGCGGTGCAGCAGTCGTCTCGTCGCATTCATGCGGCTGCGTGCATCGCGGGGCGTGGTGGGGCAGGGGCGGGGCGGGGCGGGGTGCGGTGGTGACTAGTGCTTCCTCTTCGCGAGGCGTTCGTCCCGACAGGTACGAGTGGGGCTCAACTGCTGCTTGCACCTCCACTCGCGCACCGCGAGCGCGCGAGCTGTCGGGGAAAGTGGTTTGATGGGAGGCTTCCATCGGCGGCCCCCTCAGCACCCCTTGGTACCTCCACCGGCAGTGGTACCGGCATCACTCGCACACCTGCTGTCCTGGACGAGCTGTGTGATGCCAACTAGGCGCGGAGAGAGAGGCTAGACATTCGAGCGCCAAAACGGCCGCCCCCACCTGCCAACCGGAATACACCGCGCAGGTGCGTCCTCCCCGTCCACCACCCCTCCTAGGCGCAGTCTGCGCAGGCGGCGGCTGCCTTCCAGCTGACGGCTGTCGCTCTGTAACGATGTCGTCCAGAGCGACGGCAGCAGCAGGGCCCCATATCGGGAGCTAGCCGACCAGCCTGCCTGCCGTAGGCCCCTTCGCCGTTAGCCGGCCGGGCGTTTGACATTTAGCAGGTCAGTGAGCGACACGGCACGGCGCGGTCTTACGTCACGGGGCAGGTGCTGCCCGGCGCTGCGCCGCCCGCCCGCACCCGCTATCTGTTTAGATAGGTCAGTGCGCAATAAAGCCGCGATAAAGGAAAACATCGCCGCGGAACGCAGCACAAGCCGGGTGGACCGCGAGGGCAGTTGAACCGGCGTGCCAAAGCCTCAGCTCCGGACGCGCGAGTCCTGCTCTCCTTCAAGGAGGGCGGGGCGCGGGGTGCTGCTCTCCGTCGTGTGAGACGGTCCTGCGCCTGCATCACGCCCTCCCCTTGGGCGTGGGCTGTGTGGAACGTTCCTGCCGAGCAGCCCGTCGTCGTGGCCGCGCCGCGCTCCCGTGGGCTGTGGGCTGGGCTGCACGTGGACGTGCATCCTGCGGACCCAAAGCCGGCAGGCTCCTTGCATGGGACGGGGGTCCGGGGGCCGACCCCGACCGCGCCGCCCAGCAAAGAGAAAGGAAAGGTGTACGAGCGTGTGTGTGTGTGTGAGTGCGTGCTTGCACGGGCGCGCGTGTGTGTGCGCGTGTTCGTGTGTGTAGCTCAGTGCTCGGCACCTGGCGTGTCGCTGCGCGGCGGCAGCGGCGGCGGGCACCGGAGGCCGGCGGCGGCGACACGCGGTGTGGTGGCCGCGGCCGGCCGGCCCCGCAGCCCCGCACGCCCCCTTGCTGCCCGCCCGCCGCCGGGCCCGCCGCGCGCGGCTGCGCACGCGTTGCCTACCCGCCGGGCGCCGGGCCGTTTGCTGCCGCCACCCGGGCGGGTCAGCCGTTATGCGTGGCGTCGTTGCGTGCCCGCCATGCGGGCTGCAGGGGGATGACGCCCACGCGTGTGCGCTGGAGCATCGCGCGCGAGGAGTAGCAGCCAGCAGCAGCAGCACCGTGCGTGCGTGCGTGCGTGTGGGTTCGTTGCGTTAGATGGAGTGGAGTGAAGGAGACAGCGAATGAGGGGGTGAGCAAGGAGCAGTGGGGGGCAGGCAGACTGGGGCCGGGCCGGCCGCACCGGCGACGGCGACGCGGACATCCCCCCACAACTTTGTCGTCTCGCCGCGGCCCACTCCAACCGGTCCAGCCCGGCCGGCCGGCCCGCCGCGGCGTGGCGTGGCGGGGTTTTGCCTTTGGGCCCGGCCGGCACTGTACGCCCGATGGCATTGGAATAATGAGGGCATAACGTTGCCGGGCGGGCCGGCGCGCCCCGAGCACCCTCCTCCCTCCTCGTCCTCCTTCTCCTCGTCCTCCTTCTCCTCGTCCTCCTCCTCCTACTCCACCTCCTCGTCTAGGCCGCCCCGCCCAGCGCCCGCCTCCTGGTCGCCGGCACCACCGGCTGGACGGTGTAGTGAAAGTGCTTCGTAGCGAAATGGAGGGGGTGCCGGCTGGGCGGCTTGTCCTGCGCCACCACCGCAGGCCTGACCGGCGCTAAATACCAGCAGGGAAGTGGGCCCCCGGGGGTTTTATAGACCATTTCACCCGCGTTACTCTCCGAGAATATAACACACACACGCCAGCAGACGATTTTGAGCAGAAGTTATTGATTACCACAGAAAATGTCACTTTTCCTCGTTTTATTCTATGGAGGACGATGTCCGAAATGTCACCTTCGTCGATAGTCTCGAGAAAGCGAGTCAGCTTCTGGGACTTTTGTTGTTTCGGAGTAACTCTGCTGAAACGGTCTATTGGGCCGCAGAAGGAGCCACGGCGTGACGCGAGGCCCCACGGGTCCCCCGCGGCAGGGGTCAGCCGCAAGGACACGCGTCACACCCTCCTGATTGACAGAGTCCATCAAGGGTCCCGGCCGGCGGCAACGACCAGGAAGGGAGGCATAAGTAGCACAACGTGGCCCCTCCCCCCTCCCTCTCGCGACAGATTCGCAGACGCTTGCGAGGCCCTTGTCCCCCTCGTCCCCTCCCCGCGCCCTCGCGAATCTCTCCGCGGAGCCGGCCGGGGCCCACAGCCCTGCTCCCCGGGCTGCTTTCCGAGCTGCTCCCGCGGGCCGCGAGCCCCAAGGCCAAGGCCGCACCCGCGCTCTTCAATGAGGATCCCATCAGCAGGCATTAGGCCAATGGGGCTCGCCCCCCGCGCGACGCCCGGCCCGGACCCTACCTGGGTCCTGGGCGAGGAGCTCAGGGAGCCCCTCCAGAGCGTTGGGGCTTATGGGTGCGAGCTCAAGCATTTTTCCTGGGAATAAGTACAATATATTTCCACGTTTGTCAGCACCGCTCTAATGCTCTTCGCCCCTCGTTTCCTCTAAATGCCACTTGAATGGACATATAGAAAAACAGATTCTAGTTTATTTTTCCTTGTTTCAAGTAAATGCTGACCCAAGACCAAATTTACTCTTAAAACGAGCTGAACTCTTTCGAATAAGAGATAACTTGTTCCAAAGAGGGACAGGATTGACTTGTTTTAAGAGTGAAATTTATCTTGGGTCAGCATGCATTGGATACAAGAAACCATTTTTCTGGGTGAATGTCAGCAAAGCAATTAAAACAACACCCAGAGAAATGAGTACTTCATTCAACTAGCGAATTCTCTTGTTCCGGAATTTTTTTTCCTCAATGCAAGTCTCGTGAGTGGGGCTATGGCGCCTTACGGGCAGGTTGGGTCGGCACACCCGCAACACTGTGGTGTATTGCATTTACAGACGGTATGGTCAAGCAGTGCCCGCTTGTCGAATGACGAGAAAAATGAAAACTCCAGGCAACATGTTTTGATGAGGTTTACGGTACGACCCGAGCTTCCAGCCTCCCACCTGCAGCTGCATCTGTGAGGGGCGCTCATGTCAGGCGGTCAGGGGGCATCGCGGCCTTAGGCGACCCCCGCAGCTGCAAAACATCCATCGATATCCGCGTCCGCGCCTTATCCAGATACTGAGGCGGGAAGAGCGGCGAAAGCCGAGGGAGGGGCGGGGAGAAAGTGGGGAATAATCTCGTACTTGTAATACTTTCAAAGTGCGAAATATGCATAGGAATGCGGAGGAGGGATATGGGATGAGTAGGAGTAGGACGCCCGGGGGGAAGGGGGTACAGACAGGAAGGGGCAGGGGGGCACTCTGCTGCAAAAGCTCATCTTTTTCATCTGAAAGGCTTGAAAAGCGCAGCGAGTAACGATTAAACTGGCAGAGCTTGAGCCGCATAGGCCACGCAGTGCGCCGCGCTGCCGCCTGCACTGCACTAGCATGTGGGGCAGGTCATGGTCCGCCTGCCCGGCCCCCGGCCCGGCCGGTCGCCTCGCGCTTTGCGCAACGTTGTCGCGCAGCTCCGCGCCGCGCCGCCACTCTGCCAGGCCGTCCGCCACATTGAACCAGGTGCGGCGCACTCATTCATTAGACTCACACACTGCGCGCAATCGGGCGGGGCCAGCGGTGCCAGCGCCAGGCGCGATTGCAAAGCTTTGCAGGGCAAAACTGGGCAGCGGCAGTACATATTCGCGCGGTGGTTCGTTCGCATGAGTGCAGGCGAAAAAATAATGGCAATTGCATTTAAAGAAATGCTTTCAGAGCCGATTCCTACTATGATTCCGACGGCTTGGGGCAGTGCTATGGTTGCCACATGGCATGGGCTGCCCCATGTCTTCCCCACGACTCCTCCATGGCAGGCACGGCTCCATAGCGCGATCCTGAGAGGTGCTGTCTCAACCCGTCATGGCAAGGCCAACTACTACGCCCCCTGCCCCCTTCCTCCCATCGTCCTGCTCCTCTCCCCCCGCACCCTTCCTCTTTCCCACTCATTTTGCTCCTCCTCCTCTCCTCCCTGCCGTTCCTCTTCCGAACAACATCATCAAGAAAACAACAGTAACAAAAAGTATGGAGCGTCTGTCTCACACATGTGTCTTCCATATACTTGCTAGATGGTTCTTCTTCTTCTTCTTCTTCTTCTTCTTCTGCTTCTTCTTCTTCTTCTTCTTCTTCGTCTTCTTCTTCGTCTTCGTCTTCGTCTTCTTCGTCGTCTTCTTGAGGATTTTGGAAAGATTCCTCCACGCACGGGCTGTCTTTTTGATATATGGCAACAGGCGTCCGGTGACATCCGGGACATTCTATCTCTCTCCCTCTTTCCCTTTTCAGGCAGCATCACCCAAATCGACGGGTCCTAGCAACGTTGACCGATCTCGCCGCGACAATTCAACGTTGTCCGATCTCGCCCCGACGTTTCAACGTTGTCTGATCTCGCCGCGACGCTCCAACACTGTTCGATGTCCAATCCGGCCCGTTCCGAGT